GAGCCATGCAAAATAGGTCGTTTACGGGAGATGGTAGCTTACTAGAGAGTTAAAACAGGAAGCCTAAATGATTTATAACTCACGTGTTACAAATACTTGGGTCATTTTCACACCTTTAGAAAAAATATTTATTATTTATAGACCAAATTCAAAACTCGCACCGATGTGAGGCTTAAGTTGTGAACAAAGGAATCTGGCGTGATTCGTGACTTTTGAATCACGCCAGACTACTTTGAGTCACGCCAGATCCCTTTGTTCACAACTTAAGCCTCACACCTTTTGAAAAGATAGCCATTATTAAAGAAGGATGGAAAAAAGATCATTTTTGGCCATTTTCAGGCAAAAAGCATGGATTATAGCCCAAGGTTTTGATCGATTTTGGATGTTTTCTGACTGACTGAAATTTTTTTCATTATTTTAAAAAGGGTCATTGTTAGCCATTTTCGGCCAAAAAGCATGGAGTATAGCTCATGGTTTTGTTGGATTTTGGGTGTTTTTGGACCTAGTGAAGAAATTATGGCATTTTAAAAAGGGTCATTTTGAACCACTTTTGGCTAAAAAGGTTTTTATAGATTTTGGGTGTTTTTAGACATAGCGAAGACATTACCCCATTTTAGAAAAGGGGTCTTTTTTGGCCATTTTTGGCCCAAAAGTATATTCTATAGCATAATCAGTAAATTGCTATGTATTTTCCATATTACATGCTGTACTCGTAGAGCAGAATTTGTCTTAGAGTTTCATTTCTTCTCTGTCTCTGTAATGTTCCATTCTGTTTGATGAAAGGAGAGTAAGTGAGAGTTTAATAAATTTGTTTTCTAGAATTAGGCGAAAMTGGCAATAATTACAGTCAATTCAAAAAACGTTGTCGTCGACAGGCTCAAGCCTACGCGATTGCACCGAAAGCAATGTATGGGTAAAAATCACTGAAGCGTTTAAATATTCGTTCTGAATTAATTGTTCCCGCTAGTAATAAGATAATAATGGAGAGAAACAATCCATTAAATGCATGTGTTCGGGTTTAGGGAAAGAAAAACAAAGTACTTATGATTCAGTTCACAATCCCGAAAATATGGAGGCATTAAAAAAACGTCTCCTTCAACACTTCCCGCTCGCCTACGAAGGTTCGTGCTGTAAACAAGGCATAACTAGTCAGATAAAATTATGGAGTCAACTCGGCTTCTATGATTACTACCCAGAGTTCCTTTCGGTCCAGTCGCGTAGGCTTGAGTTGGTCGACGACAACATTTTTTGAATTGACTGTATATAAAGTAAACAATAGAGTGATCTTACTTGTGACTAATAGTAAAATAGACAAATGAAAACAATAGAGTTGCAGRGTAGTGTCTGCTACAGTGTATTATGTGGACTATTCTGCAAAGTAAAATCACTCTAAATCATGTGAGGTAGATCTCTTTCCTGMCTTGTTCTGAATAGGATTAGGTCTAATAACAGACATAATCACATGACTACTCCTATGCAGCATATGAAAATACTTTTTTCCCCTTATGAGTTACCAGTTGTCAGTTTTAAGATATGAACCATTTTCACTTTCATTCAACCACATTTCATTCTCTTAAGAATAGGACTGTATGTTTTTGTGGCCCCAATATTCATATATATTCATGTTTAACCGATAAACAAAAAATGATACTCTAGAGAATGACACGTGGTCTAAAATGGGAAAATATTAGGTAAGGCCCACGTCCACACCGTATCCGGAAAGTTTTGTATCCGCAAATTTTATTTTGCGGATACGAAAATGTTCGCGTCCACACGCAGCGTATTCGAATCGTTTTCGAATCGTTTTCACTGTCCACACGTATCCGGAAATTTCATGATCGGCCCTGATGCACGCTAGTGCCTAGTCCATTTGACGGATAGTTTTTTTTTATTGAGCATGCGCAAAATCGTGTTTACGTCATCGTATTCGAMAATTTGCGGATACGACCGTCCACACGTATCCGTATTCGGGGCGTATTCGAAAATGTCCATTCTGGAGACCGTTTTCGAAAATTTGCGGATACGGATACAAAAATTTCCGGATACATGTGGACGAGGGCAAATTTTATTTTGCGGATACGGGTTGCGTCCACACGTGTCCGCAATTTTTTGTATCCGTATCCGCAAATTTTACGAAAACGGATACGTGTGGACGGTGAAAACGATTCGAATACGCTGCGTGTGGACGCAAACATTTTCGTATCCGCAAAAAATAATTTGCGGATACAAAAATTTCCGAATACGTGTGGACGGGGCCTAAGACTAATATCAAACGTCAATACTCACACGAGGCGTACACATTGAAAACAATTCATAACGCAGTCATGTTTTATGTGATTARGTTGGACTTATGTAAAGTTTGTATTCAGTTTGTATTTAATAATTACTGACCTTCCATAAGACTACAAGATCATCACTTCCACATGATGCAAACCCTTCAATACCACAATCCACTGCCGTCTGCAACATTATGAAAAGAACCATTCAATAAAATGATACAACTGTATATAACTTGACTATYTGTCTCATCATTTTGGGTTTAATCATTATATGTGAGAAGAGTCACTTTTTCCTGTGCCTCCAAGATTTTTCTCAGAGTTTCTGATTTCCTCCTACACAAAAATATAACTCCTAATTCCAATTAAATTATGATCATGGAACATGGGCTATATGTCTGTTAAACACTGGCTACCAAGTACTACCCTTATAAAAAAAGAATGATTTGGGTCCAAGGAACAARCCATCAAGCACAGTGTTGAAAGATGGTGCATTAGGTCTCATAGTCCTTTCTCAACTCTTACCGACAAGTGACCAAGAGAGTACAATTATAGTAGGTCCTCATCCTTCCTCAACTGTCATTATTAATAGCAACTTACATGCACAGTCCCTGAGTGAGCCAAACATTCACCCAGAAGGGTAGGCACAGTGGGTTCTTTACAGGCTTGCAGTTCTTTTAAACTACAAAAATATAAAAATCATGAACTTTTTACTCATTTCGAATAAATATGTTAAAGTGCAGAAGCCTGCTGGTACTCACTTTAAGCCAAGAAAAGTCTCTATACAAGACCCACCACCAACAGGTTGACTCCCTCCACCTGTGTTGAATAACAAGAAATGAAAGTCCAAAAAGGTTTAGGAAATATAAAGCATAATATCAAATATATTTGGTTAGTGTAAGAATTAATGTCAAAGACCTCTTAGCTATAGTCCATCTCCCTTTGCCAAAAAGGCACAAAATGGAGCTTTTTCAAAATAGTATAATTTTTCTACCACCAAAAAGGCCTAGAATTAAAAATCCATCAAAACCATGGGCCAAAAGTGGCTATAATCCATACTTCGTGGCCCAAAAAATAGTTCAAAATGACCCTTTTTCAAAATGGGATAATTTCTTCACTAGGTTCAAAAATACCYAAAAATCCATCAAAACCATGGGCTTTAGTCCATACTTTTGGCCAAAAATGGTTCAAAATGACCCTTTTTCAAAATGGGATATGTTTTCACTAAGTCTAGAAAGGCCTTTAAAAAAGACCAAATTTAAAATCATCAAAACTATTAGATATAGTGCACACTTTTACCCCAAAAGATAAATAAAGAATAGGAGTACAAACTGACAATCAAGTTTCATCTGATAGTAGTAAGACAACTATTAGAATCAAAGTAACCTACCAACAAGAACAGGAGTTGGTGAACCCCATAATCTGACAGAACCATCCTGTGAACATGTTGCAAGAAGAAATCTGCAAACAAGATTTTTATACATAGCGTAAGCTAAGATACTTGTTATGCACAGAGAGATCTAACCAGTGGCAGTCGGTGTACTCTTAGTTCATACCATTTCTCACTACTCAGTTGTGGATTCAATCATTACACCCGCTTTCGTATAAAAAGAAGTGCTTTGAGAACTTTTCTTTGGTTTCTCTTCCATACACAAAATATCAACATCACAGACCAAGCTAGACTGACTTACCCATTGCATAGGAGTACTGAGTGAAGTAYTTTACCATGATGTGCTGATTTGACCCGAGAAAGACAGTCACCTAGTGATAAGAATAAAGCTGTTACCTCCTCAGCATACTCACTGATTCATATRAACAACACATAGAGCAGTGTCTAGTCTGTATGTACCTGACATGGCATCATACACAAAGAATCCACGGCCAATGGAAGCAAAAATGTACTTCTGGAACAAGATCAGAATATTCTATTTATTTACACCTGATCGTTAGTACTTATCAGCCTCTGGTAGAGTTACTTACCTCATCAGCTATCATAATCCATCAATGTCATCATCATCATCATCATCACCATTTGTCATCACTACCCAGATTGTTACCATAATCACTACCACCATCACCATATCATCATTACATTTTATTAGCATGCATCATCATCACCATTATTACCATCACCACATCATCATTAATATCACCACCATCATTATCATCACCATTATCATCATTAGTATCATCATCATTAACATCACCATAACCATAACCATCACCATCATATCATCCCCATTATCATCATTAGTATCATCATCATTAACATCACCATTACCATCACCATCATATCGTACCCATCATCATCATCAATATCATCATCACCATCATTACAACCACCATTATCATCATTGTTACCATGCATCATCATCATTGCCAGCATCAACATCATCATTACCATCACCATTATCATGCATCATCCCTATCCCCATCATCATCACCTTCATTAACATCATCATCATATTTATCATCATCATCCCCATTATATCATCACCTTCATCATCA